GGGGGGGACGGGGGAGGGCCAGCTGTGCCGGCGAGTCTGCTGCGGAACCCCGAGGGGCAGGGTCGAGGAGTGAGAGGGATGACAGACCACGAGGGCGAAGAGCTGTAGCCAGGGTGTTTATTCGGGTCTGAGATTCACTGCTTCCTTAACGAAGGCCTGGGACGGAGGCTTCTGAACTCCTCTACCTTGGGTCTTACTGAAAAGTTCAGGGGTGGCCTTTGATGTTAGCTCTGGATTCCAGTGAAACAAGCAAACACGCTTTGAGGGCCAGGTTGCCACCCACTTTGGGAAACAGATCTTGGTGATTCATCCTTGGGCTTGTCATAGTGTGACTGTATCTGCAGTTATCTTCCTCATGGTCTGGAGCTGATGGCCAGAGGCTAGTGCAGCTTTGCTGTCTTCCCTATTCATTCTGCAGCTGGTTGCACCCTGTGCAACCACTTACCCTCTCCCATTGTCCCCACTAGGCTTTGTGCCCCCAGAAAGGTATTAAAGTTTAGGTTTGTTTAGAAACAGGATGAATTGCACAAAAATTGTTACTAAGCACTAACCTCATTTTAAAATGAATAGACTAAGTTGCTGGCATTGGGCTGGAGCTACTCCATAGAAAATGGTGATAACCTCCCTGTTAACAACCCTAGCATTTAATATAATACGTTTCACGTCGATGTTGCATACATGCTTTGATGATGTTTAGCATTCAGCAGCCTTCTGCTGTTCGTTTTTGAGAGCAAATTAGTGTTTGTCAAATAATGGTTTGTGTTAGACAGCACTTGGTAATTTTCAAAGCATTTTATCTGCGTTATTAAATACTTGCCTTTGGGTTTTGGGGAAGCGCTATGTCACTGTCCTGGAGGTTTTATATATTAGCTTATTTAATCTTTCATTCATCCTTTTCACAGATGAGGAAACCGAAGCTCATTTTAATTGCTTTCCCTAGCTAATAGGTAGAAGAGCCAGAATCTCAGGTTAGATATGTATGATTCCAAAGTTCTTGTTACCAGTCAAACCTCACAATAATTCTTGGAGGTAATGTAGAACAATGTTCTCCATTTCATACCTGGGGAAACTGAGTCTTAGAGAAGTTGAGAGATCTCAAAGTGACACAACCACTGGGTAGCAGAGGCAGGAAAAGAACTCGGGTCTGTCACATCTGCTTTAGCATTCTTTACACAGTAGAGGCTGGATAGCATGGATTTAGCATCCGTTATCAGAAATGCACTGGGGCAGCCAGACGAGTGGCTCATGCCTGAAATCCCAGCTACTTGGGACACTGAGGCAGAAGAATCATTTGAATCTGGGAGACGGAGGTTGCAGTGAGCTGAGATGGCACCACTGCACTCAAGCCTGGGCACCAGAGCAAGACTCCGTCTCAAAAAAAAAAAAAAAAAAGAGAGATGAAACGAATTGGGGCAAAAGATTTTTGGGTTTAGTATTTTTTCGAATTTTGGAATGTTTGTGATATAAACTTACCTGTTCAGTACCCATAATTCAGAAATCTGAAATACTCCAGTGATCATTTCATTTGAGCCTTATGTTGCTGATCAAAAAGTTTTGGATTTTGGAGCATTTCAGATTTAAAGTTTCGGATTAGAGATACTCAAACTGTATTTGTGACTTGATAAGACCATCAAGGCTGAAGGTGTCTGTGACTGGTATTAGTTTAGAGGTCTTCAGTGCTGTATGTTTTTCAGGTTGTGGCATCAGCTGACACTTCAGGTGCTTGATTTTGTGCAAGATCCGTGCTTTGCCCAAGGAGATGGTCTCATTAAGGTAAATAATTGGCCATGCCACATCAGATTATATGAATGTGCTAAAGGACTTTTTAAAATAAGATTGGCTTTATGCTGGTAATAGTAATAAGCTACAACTTCAGCAGTCACTTCATGTCAGGTACTGATCTGAGTGCTTCACATAGCCTTCATAACAACATTGGCCAATAAATACTACTTTATCTCACTTTTCTGATGTGGAAGCAAACATAAAACTTTAATAACTTACCATGGGTCACTGCTGATAAGTGGCAGAAGAGGATTCAAATGCTGACATTCTGGCGTTTTCTAAAATTCTAGCATGAAGTGCTATCTTACAGCACACCTGAGTATCTTATTGTTCGTAGGCTTCTTTTAGTACTCTGCTTTCAGTAGAAAGTTCAGACCCAGTTGGAGGGTGGGGTAAGGTATGAGGAAGATTTCTGTCTGTAGGAATCTTAGACCCCTTCCTTCAGCCACAGGCTGCTTGCTTGTCCAGACACTCTGTCCTGGGTAGTGTGGCAGATGAAGCACCTTTTCTACTTGGGTTGAGGGTAGGTGGCTTAGAGGGAGAGCCCTACTTTTAGAATTTTTTCAACAGGAAAAATATATTTACACTTTTCTTTCCAGCCTTCCCCAGATCCCCTAACACATTCCCACAAATTTGCTCACTGATAGCCTCCTCTTGGAAGCTTTTCCTTACATCTTGCTCTGTGATGCCTTTCTCTGATTCTGAATGAATCAGATTCGTACCAGCGTCGTAACTGATAGCTAGCTTATAATTACATCTCGAGTTATTTCTCCTGAATACATTACTTTTATATGCTGACCATAGAGCTTACCACCTTACTACCCCACCACCTGGGCTTATAAGATTTTCTTGTGGTTTATAGCCATCAATTTCACATTTTACTACTCAAAGGAACTTAAAACCATCTTTAAACCTGGAGATTTTGCTGAATATTCTATCTTTCAGATTACGTGGGAAAATGATAAATAAGACTTGTCTTTTTGGGTTTTGTTTTGTTTTGAGACGGAGTTTTGCTCTTGTCGTCCAGGCTGGAGTGCAGTGGCACAATCTTGGCTCACTGCGCCCTCCACCTGCCAAGTTCAAGCAACTCTTCTGCCTCAGCCTTCAAGTAGCTGGGATTACAGGTGCCCACCAACACATCCGGCTAGTTTTTGTATTTCTTAGTAGAGACGGGCTTTCGCCAGTGTTGGCCAGGCTAGTCTCAAACTCCCAAACTCGGGTGATCCACCCGCCACAGCCTCCCAAAGTGCTGGGATTATAGGCGTGAGCCACGGCGCCCGGTCTGAGACCTATTTTAATACTTGTTTCCTAAGGTTCTAAATTGTCATGATAGATAATTCATAATTGTTTATCTCTGTCCTTTGCTTTCTTATGTTTAAATCACTTTTCTACACATGGCAAAAACATTTCCTAAACCTCACAGTAAGGTGATGTTTATTTAGGTTGGCAGATTTGAGTTTACTTTTCCCATGGACAAAATAAACCTTTAAAAAATTTTTGGGATCCAGCCAACACAAGTGTAAAATGGATAGTATTTATGAATTTGTAATCACCAGGAATAATTTTGACTTTCTGGACTTAGTGGGCTTCTTTTTTAAGGTAATTTTTTAGATTAATAGATGTCAGGAAAATTCAAACATTTCCTTCTAATAAGGAAGATATCTTTGAAATAGTCACTTGTAGTTAAAATGCCATTTTATTTATTTGTTTGTTTATTTTTGAGATGGAGTTTTGCTCTTGTTGCCCAGGCTGGAGAGCAGTGGCACAGTCTTGGCTCACTGCAACCTCCACCTCCCAGGTTCAAATGATTCTCCTGCCTCAGCCTCCACATTAGCTGGGATTACAGGCACCCGCCACCATGCCTGGCTAATTTTTGAATTTTTGGTAGAGACGGGGTTTTACCTGTTGACCAGGCTGGTCTCAAATTCCTAACCTCAGGTGAGCCACCCACCTTGGCTTCCCAAAGTGCTGGGATTACAGGCGTGAGCCACTGCCCGGCCGCGATTTAATTTATTTTTGGGGACAGGGGCATAGAGTCTCACTCTGTTCCCTAGACCGGAGTGCGATGGTGGATCTCAGCTCACTGCAACCTTCGTCTCCTGAGTTCAAGCCATTCTCATGCCTCAGCCTCCCAGGTAGCTGGGATTACAGGTATGTGCCACCATGCCTGGCTAATTTTTGTAGTTTTAGCAGAGATGGGGTTCGCCATGTTGGCCAGGCTGGTCTCGAACTCCTGTCCTCAAGTGATCCAGCCACCTCGGCCTCCCAAAGTGCTGGGTTACAGATGTGAGCCCTGTGCCGGGACAAAAATT